AACTCAGGGCTTTATGCAAGCTGGGCAAGTGGTATAACACTGAGCTATACACCCAGCCCCCCTCACTGCTTTTTTCTGATCAAAGAGTTTTATATTATAGAGAATAAGTGTTTCTAGAGTGTTCAAAAAGGCTTTTTAATGCAGAAAAGATTAGACTTTCTAATACAGGTTAGCCCTGGAGATTAAGTGACAAGATATATTCTTGAGCATGAGCTGGACACTTCCCTGGACACTTTAATATGTGTTTTCTCTCGTCATTTTCTCAGTAACTTTCCACTGTAAGTTTTGTTTTCTCCACTGCACAACTGTCCAAAGCCCATGTAGCCAGGAAGTGGTAGAGCTGGGATTCATTTCAAAATCTTTATTATTCTAAATGTCCCATTCTCTTTCCACATAGTCTGGATATACAACTTCCTCTTTTTTTCTGTAGGAAGAGCTAGGTGAGGAGAACATTTCTGGTTTCTGTCTTTTGAAAGAAAAAAATGTGGATGATTGAGACCAGCAGGGGCCTAGATCTGCCCAGGATTGGAGTACAATGTTATCCTGATGCCCCTGGACCTCTGAATTTACTCATAAAGTTCAAGTTCAGAGAAAGAAGTTGACTCAGAAATAATGGGGAGAACCTGAACCAAGGACAATTTTCCCCCCACGAGTGTTTGGGGGAATCGAATCCAGGGCCTTATATATGCTAGGCAGGGCTCTACCACTGGGCTATTGTCAGGCCTCAGACAAACTTTCAACAAATATTTTATTTCATTTAGGATTCTACAAACCCATATCATTGTTTTAGTAGAGTAATGATAGTTTATTTTCGGCCAGCTCACCTTACAGAAAATATTTAGTATTCTGAATAAATCTGTTCCCGCATTTTGGATGCCTTACAGACATCTTTCCTGAGTTTCTGGGCACAGCGATGAGCAGAGTTAAACAGGTGCACTTCCACCTATGTGGCTGTGGGGTTGTTTCTACAGTAGCTCCAGTGAGGTTTGGTCAACTGTCTATAATTCCAGGGACCTGCCCAGTTCATCTCCTCCAGTGCAGTTCAGCTGCCCTTTCTCCCCAGGGCCGTCCACACCAGCCCACCAGAGTTTGTGCAATCGGCTACACCTTGGCAAACCCTGGCCTGGGATTAACTTGGCAGGGAGTCTATTCTGAAATTTCTGACTCATAACTTGGGGGTTAACTCTGAGCACCAAGCCCCAGCCCTGCCCTCCTTTGCTGTTTCTTGGTGCTGATTCACACTGGGTTGGGATTTTATTGTAAGCACTCATAATTGTGTATGGGTGGAACTTGGATTTTAAAACTGACAGGATGCCAAGTCTAGTGCTTCTGTTAGCTTTGTTAGTAATGGGGTAATTTTTCTTAAATGAATAAAAGGAAGGAAGGAAAGAAAGAAAAGAGGACAGGATGTAGGGAAGAAGAAAGAAAAAAGAAAAGGATAAAAAGAGAACAGAAATCCCACTTTTCCAAGCTGAAACCTATTCTCTTCCACCCTGTGTGTTTTCTCCAACCTCCTGGAAAGCCTTGTCCCGGATTGAAAACACACAAAAGCAAGCCAGATGTAGAAGAAAGAGTATAGATTTTGGAGTCAGCATATCTGAATAATTGTGTGATTATAAGCAAGTTATTTAGCTTCTTTGAACCTCTGTTTAAACTGCAATAATAATATTTATCTGTAGGGCTGGCATGATGGTTAGGAATATTATATGTAAATACCTGGGACATTAGAAAGTATTTAATAAATGTCAAATGTTATTTTTATTAAGAACGCCTTCAAAGCAGTGCGAATGTAGCTTCTTGGAGGAGACAGCAAAGGTTGGAATTTCATTTCTATTAAATGATAACAGATGGTGGAGACTGAGGTGTGTCTAATGTCGTAGTGGTTGGGTCCCGGGGACTAACTCAGGTTTTGAGAATACTTGAAGAGGTTAGTATGCAAGAGAATTAGGCAATAAACAGAAGCCAAGTCCTGTGGGAAGTAGGAGAAACTGCAGATAAAGGGATCCATTTTAGGACAAGCACAAGCTCCACTTACTGATGGACTAATCTTTTGCAAATTCCATAAATCACTTGACTTGGTTCTCTTTTCTGTGTCTATTTCTTTGGGCTGTTGAGGGGGTTAGTGGAAATCATACCTGTGAAGTGTCTAGCACAAATAAAGTGCTTGGTAAAAAGTTATCTCAGTTGTTAAGAAGAGCCGAACTTTATCAAGTTCGTGTGTAGTATGACATAGATTTTGGATCAATGCTGGACTGCTGGGGTCAAATCTGAGTTCCCCTACCATCTGCCTTGTTTTCTCATCTGTAAAATGGGTGGCATAATAGCTTTCTTATCTGTATTTAGAGAATACATAAAGGAACACATTTGAATTTATCTATACATAAGCTATTTAGAACATTCTTGGCATATAGCCAAACACTCAATAAATAGTTGTTAAATAGAGAGGTCAGTGCCTGGACAAGAACAGAAGACAAAACCAAGAAACAGGGTAGGAAATGAAATTGACTCTGGACGAAATGTGGCACAAAGAACAAAAGCACTAATGAAGCAAGCACTCCAAGACAATTGTCCTGAGTAGAGCCATGATATTCACGTTCAAGTCACTTCTCTATTTTCTTTTTAAATTGGTTGCAGGCAGGTGGGAGAAGCACCAGCATGAGCTGAGGGCCAGGATGTGGTGGACACAGCCCTTCTGATTAGCCGTGGGTCCAGGAAGACGCCCCATTAGCACTGGGCCAGCAAGCCTGGTTTCCTTAGCTTCCCAGATCCCATACCCTGTCCTGTGGAGGTGGGGCGTGGCCATGCCAAGAAGAGTCCATGGGGAGAGGCCACTCCTCAGAGAGCTCCACGGCCATTTCCTAGGCCAACTCACTGAGCTAATGGGAATCCCTGGCCACTTCTGCTTATTCTGCTGTCTGACTTTGGTGCACAAAATATTCCAATTCCAGTGATAGTGCATACTATGCAAATTCCTGACAGGCACATTGAGGCCTATTATTTGTAATTACAGGCACCTGAATCCATGCCAGCGGGACCCTGTTTTCCAGCAGTAAGCGATAGCAGCTGTTGCCTGGATGCCAAACGCACCCAGGAAAAGTTCTGGAAATGGGATGAGCGGTTCTCACCAACAGTCCTACAACCACTGACTGGAATCCACCTCCTCTGCTTATACCCTTTGGTGACTCCTATCGCTCTCAGACCAGGGTCTCTGTTAGGCTTCTCATCATGTGGTCCATCACCCCCTTGAACTTCTTCCTCCAATAGCCTTCACTGAAGCTCTGCTACATTGCTTGTTGGTACTGAGAAACCCCATATTGCCCCTCATTAAGGTGTTTTCCTATCTGCAACTTGGTGCTACAGCTTGGAATTACCTCATCCCTAACTCTGGCTCATCCTTAAAAACTCAGCTGTGCCTGCTGGCCATGGTAGCGCATGCCTGTAATTCCAGCACTCCAGGGAGGCTGAGGCCAGAGGATGGCAAGTATGAGCCCAGCCTGGGCAATGTAGCAACTTAGTGAGACTGTCTCAAAATAAAAATTAAAAGGACTGGGGATGTAGCTCAGTGTGAAGGACGTGTCTTCAATCCCCAGTACAAGAAAAACAAAACGAAACAAAAGCTGTGCCCTCTTCACTTCTCTGAGAACCCTTTTTTGACTTCCTTCTCTTCCTGTCCACCCATAGTGCTTACATAGAACAATGCTACTATCCTTTGTGCTATTTGTCACTTTCCCCTAACAGATCATGAGCTCCCTGTGGGCAGGTGGCACATCTTACATCATTTTCTTTGGGCCCTGAACAAGACCCAACAAAACTGGGTGCCCATCCAGTAGATGCTGGTGGCCAAGTAAACAGCATCTCCCTTGCTTTAGAACTGATGAGACTGTTCTTTCACTTGACTAAGTCAAAAGAATTTTCTCTCAGGCTCACTGCTCATACCTACTCTTAAAAATGAATCATTAAGAACTTATGAAAAGAATTGCACTAATTTACTGAGGATAAACGCAACAAATCATATGTTTCTCTTTTCTTTCTTTCTTTTTTTTTTTTTTTGGTACCGGGCATTGAACTCTGGTCCTTGCGTTTGTGCAGCAGACATCGAAACCACTGAGCTAAATCCCCGGCCCTGTTTTTCTATTTTTAATTCTATTTAAGGGGCTTGGTTCCCTAGATGTAGAAGACTGGATCAAGACTTAATTAACCTTATCACATCTCTTTCCTCCTTGTGCACTATGGAGGTCATATTTAAATATGACTTAGTATTAATCTGCTTTTATTGTCATTAGCAAAATCTAAAGGTTTTTATTCAATTTCTACTTACAGCATTCCTTGAAATTTAACAATGTAACTATTAGGAAATGTCTATTTTAAGTAGAAGTGCAAACATTCTATCCAAATGACTGGATCCTCTCACAATCCATCCTATGCAAGTCTAGCCACGTCACCTGCAATAGCACTGTGTCTATTTCTAATATTTTTGAGTTTCTCCTGTATTTGCCTTCAAAGATAGGTGATTATCCTTACTTCTTACTTTAAACCCAACTACTACAACAAAAAGTGATGCTGTTCAATGAAACACTTTATTTAACTGCTAGGAATAGCATAGGGTTTCCCTACATACACATCACTAGTGGGAAGTCAGATATATTAAGTAGTACTTATTTTTTAATTAAAAATTAATATCTATATAATCATGTTAGTGAATATTAACTATATGTTATATGTAGTTAATAAGCACATCAAAGCCATAATTTCATGGATATTGCTTAAGGAAAAGCTACACTTATTTAAAGAAAACTACAATGAGTCAATTGCTGAAACAGATTAAACAATAATCCAGGTTATAAGGAGAAGATAAAGATTGCAAAAGAGGCCCATCACTGATCAAACTGTGGGAAGTACTGATGGAATGAAAAGAGGAGTCCTGGAACTCAGTTATTTTTCTTGTTAGCTGAGGGTCTTGTGGGCAAGTTACTTAAGCTCTCTGAGCTCTACTTGCTTACCTGTATAATGACAGTGAATTGCTGTGGTGGTTAGAGACGGGTCGTTGCAAGTCAGCATAGGACCTAAAGGACTCCCTGGTGAGAACAATTTTCCTTTTTGTATGACATCCATTCTCACAGAACAAAGATATTGATTCTATTACAACAAGTTGCCACCAGCCTGAAAGGGAAAACAGGAGACATTCATTAAATGTGATGAGCAAAGAGTGGCAGCTCAATGGTCACTTTGAACCCTCAACATATTAATTTGAACCTATTCACTTGGCCATGTTTGTTAAGGCATCAATCATATAATGAAGGAGCTGAGTAGTCACACCTTATATAATATTAAATAATTAATGCTGCCCTTGAACTTGAAGAGTTTCTCAACTCCCTACATATTAGGCCAATAAGATTCTGTCCTTTGCTGACTCATCTAATCTCTCTGTCTCTTGTTTGGCGGACTAAAAATCATAGCTAAGTTCACTGCTCGGTTTTAGAACTCTGTATTATCTTATCCACTACTTGCTCTTCCCATTCATCTACACCTGTTATGCCAAAATACACTTTCCTTGGTCTTGTTTTTTTTTTTTTTCATAACCCCGTGTAATGTTTATTGACCATGTGTAGCATGCCAGCCTAGTGTTTGCCCATGGCTTTCTCCATACCCCGGGACATAGTTACCCCATTCAAGGATGAGGAGACTGACCCAGCAGGCAGCCTGCTCAACACTGGGGCGCGCAGCCACGACACTACACCAATTTCACAGCGCAGTGGAAACAGGACAGCTATGAGATGGCGCAAGGTCCATTTCGCTCACCAGCCTGCGGTCCCTCGACCTCTCTGGGGTTCAATATAGAACCTGCGAAGCAAGGGGCAGGCTAGTCACCCTCCAGCATGGAGTCTCCAGCCCTTCGCAGAAGGGGACATCTGGCTTGCTGCATCCACAAGCTCAAGGGGCCACCTGTGCGCACTCGGGGGACACCCAGGGGCCTCGCCCGTGCCCTCCGGCCCGGGACCTGCTGGCCACCACCATTACACTAACTGCACTCATTCTCCGTACCCGCTTCCACTCAGGACTCCCGTGTTCTGGTCCTCTATGCACGTTCACTGCACCCTCTGCCCGTCCCAAATACTGCCTCCTTTACAGCGCACTGGTTCCCGGCCTGGGTCTCGTCGCTTTTGCTCCTCCACACTCGCACATACTGGGTCGTATTCACGCGTTTTCACGGGTGTCCACACTTCTTCGCTCCCACACTCGCCCACCTGCACACGCACGCACTCACACACTCCCTCGCGCGCCGTCCCTCGGACTCCCACATGCGCGCGCTCGCCGGGCGTTGCCCGCGCCTCTCGCCTGTCAGGTCCCTGGAGGAGCCCCGCCGCCCGCCGCCCGCCGCGCCCGGGTCTTGTTATTTTTTATTCTCACCTTGCTCTTTCATTATACAGATTCTCATTTTTTTTTTTTATGCATTCAGTGCAAAGGGAAGAGTACTCAAGTGTCTTAGTCAGCTCAGGTTGTCATATCAAAAGAGCATCTATGGGGTGGTTTAACAACAGAAATTAATCTTTCACAGTGCTGGAGGCTGAAAGTCCAAGGTCAGGGTGCGGTATGCTCAGGTTCTGGTGATGGCTCTTTCCTGACTTGCGGATGGCTGCCTTCTTGCTTTGTTCTGAGGTGGAGGGTGCCTCTTCTTAAAAAGGCACTAAAAGCCCCAACTCCAAATACTATCACACAACGGGATGAGGCTGCAACACATGAATTTGGGGGAGCATAACATGCAGCCTATAATAATGTTCAGTCAGTAACCCATGATAGTAAATATCGTGTCATCTTTGGCCGGAGCCAGCAATTTATCATGTGTCCCACCAGAATTCCAGGCCAGAAGTTTTCTTTCTTGGATCAGCCATTGTAAAATCAATGTGCATGCTAATCATGAGCCAAAAGTATTGGTTTTCATACTGAGCCAAGGATATATCCTTGATTGTTCCTTAGCCATCGTGGATTCAGAAAAGATGAGAAAGACCTATCTGTGAGTTTTCTTTCTCCTTCTAGTGGGTCACCCTACGTGTATGTAACAAGGTCCTGCATTGTAGCAGGAAAGTGCTGGATGACATAATCTCATCTAATAAAACAATATTCAGATGAGGAGAAATTATTATACCCTGCTTTTAGTTGAAAAATTGAATCTCAATAAGATTAAGTAATTGGCACAGCATCAAGTAACCAGTAGCGGGAGAAGTCCAGATTTGAACCCAAGTCTTTCTGAATCCAAAGGCTCTGAGAAGATTCCATGTGTCTAGAATCCCTTCATATATTATTTGTCCAAATGTTCATTTGCTCATTGAACTCATATACACTAGGTTCCTATTTGTGCCTGGGTCTATGTAGGCAACAGTGATCAATAAAAGGGACCAATAATAATTATTATTGCTGGGCATGATGGCGCATGCCTGTAATCTCAGCATTTGGGAGGCTGAGGATTGCCACAAGTTCGAGGCCAACCTGTACTACATAGTGAGTTCAAGGCTAGCCTGAACTACATAGTGAGACCCTGTCTCAAAGAAACATACAACAACAACATAATAATGATACTTATTATAATCCCAGTCTTTATTACTTACAGGAGACAGATAATGAAAATAAAAAACACAAACAAGCAAAATCAGGAGACAGATAATGAAAGCAAAAACCACAAATAAGCAAAATAAGTAGCACATCCTATGTGATAATTGAAAATTAAAGCAGGGGAGAGAGGGGGCAAGGACTGCTGGGCTGAAGGGAGTCCATTTATAATAGAGTGGTCCGGAAAGGCCTTACCAAGGAGGCAATTAAGATGTGAAAAAGATAAGTCCTATACAAATATTATTGGGCCAGGAATTTAGCTCAGTGGTTCCGCCACCTGCCTTGAAACCACAAGGTCCCAAGTTTGATCCCCGGTACCAAAAAACAAAGGATATTGTTAACTCCACAGCCCCAAAGGCTGAAGGGAGAGTGACTTTTTTGAAAAGTCATTCTGTCAGGACTCTTTCTTTTGCAATAGGCATACAAATAGACTCAAATTGACTTCAGTAAAAAAATGCGAAAATATCAGCTTAGGAAATTTGAAAGTCCAGGCCAGGCTGGATTTAGGGTCAAGCAGTGTGACTAGGATACAACCTACTTTTGCTCCATGTGGAAGCAAAATGATTGACAGCAACTCCAGATCAGTATCCTGCCATGCTCAAACCCAGAAGGAAGGAGGGAGTGGCCTTCTACCTGTACTCCAATCAAAAATCGCATTGGCCAGGGATTTAGCTCAGTGGCACCGCGTCAGTCTTGCAAGTGCAAGGTCCTGAGTTCAATTCCTGATACTGGAAAAAAAAATCCCATTGCATCTCTCTGGATTGCAGGCTCATCAGGACACATTATTACGATCAAGGAACACATGGCTGTGATAGGTCAGGCTGAGCCACCTGCCTACTGGAGTCAGAGGAGGAATCAACCTACTAATAGCACAGGTGAGGGACCCCTGATGAAATATGGGGTGTTGCCAGAAACAAATGAACAACTGCAGAGTGGAGAAGGCAACAAGTATTCTCAATACCTCTGATCTCAAAATAACTTCTTTTATCCTATTGCGGACAATGTTGACCCAGTGTGTTCATTACCAAAAGGATGATTCAGCACAGATTTCTCTCTAAGAGATGATCTGCAGTGGAAATGATGCCAATCAGCCTAGGGTTCTTTTGCTCAATTCAGATGGAAATTATGAATTGGCAAAGTGCAGCTTTGCTAGCAGTCCTGATGTCACCAAATGACACCAGATATTGCTAGCTGCTGGTCTCTGCTGGGCTGGCTTTTGCTGGACACCATATGTTGACTCTGCTGGTCTCCAGAGCTCTTCAGGGCCAAGAGCCCCTAGTGTTTACTGGTCTTTCTTTTGGACTATCTGCTTTGTCCACATTACTCAGGATAAAAATCTGGAGTAGATTTACAGGAATTTTGGCACCCCCACACTACCCCAAAGATACGTCCTTATTGTAACAGGACCTGTGCTGCAGCACAGGGGGTCAGTACACTGCCAAGTGCCCTCCTAGACTAACAAGAGAAGTGACTGCGGAGCCCTGCTTATATAGTAGCTACAGGCCTGTGATTGATCCAAGTAGAGGACCATGATTGGTGCAGGGATCCAGGACATCTTCAGCTGTTGGCTGACGGGCAACCAGTGAGGGGGCAGGGCTGAAGCCAGGAAATCTTCTGGAAGTCTAGCTGTGAGAGGTGGGGATGTTAATCAAAGCCCAGACTCCCACCTTCCTCATCTTAGCTGCACCAGGGTACCTGTGCCTTCTCCAGAAAGGCAACAGCAGCATCTGAAGTGGTGGGAGTAGGGGAGGGTGCCACACTGAGAGTTGAGTCACGCTCCTGTTGGGGTGGAGTGGAGAAGGGTGGCTGCTGGCTAATTAGGGAAGACATGGAAGCAAGTTAACCCAGTCCATTGGCGGGGGGCAGCAAAGGGAAGGAAGGAGAAGGGGGAGACTGCCACTGGCCAAGCCATGCCCCCTCCAGCCAGTGCAGGGCAAACACGAGAGTCAGACACTTTTCGTCCATCTCAGGAGCGCATTCAGTGGGACTGGTGGTTCTAGAGGTCTCCTGTCACCACACAGGACATGCGAGCATCATGTTCACTGCCTCTCAGGGCCCCAAGGATGGCTGGACTTGGGCTTTTGACCTCTGACCTGCGTGCTTCCTCCATGGGCTTCAGTGAGGCCCATCTGAACGGGCCCCTGACAGCCCCAGTATCAGAAGTTCAAGGCCTTTGAATCTTGTTCTGTTCATATTAACCTGTTTACTCACCTGGCCGATAACATTATCAGGACAGAGACCTAGCTTCTGGAAACAGAGCTGGCTACTTCAGTAGAAACTCACTATTTTCCCAGGAAGTTGTGTTCTACTACTTCGGTGATAGACAGTCCTAGATTTTGACTCCACCATTTAATTGCTGGGGGAGGTCAAGTGACTTCCTGAGGCTCAATCTTCTTATTTGCATAATGAGGGTATTAATAAGAGTTGATAAATGGTCATGTAGTGGCCTGAAGCTAGCAAGAGCCTGGCATACAGCAGAGCTCAGAACAAAAACACAATTTTTTGTTCCCATTTCCCTGCTCCCTTTTTCCATGA